ACACCGCGACACCCACCCATGCCCGTGTCGCCCATGTCTCCTTCCATGTCCATGACTCCCCATATCACTGTCCAAGGCCATAGCCCCTTCAGCACCCCTTTCATCCAGGTGCCCACACAGAGCCAGGAACATGTGGAGACCACCAGCCAGAGGATCAGCAGCACCATGGATCACCAAGTCTCTGCCCAATGAGGACCACTGTGCATCATCCCATGGGGGTCCTCCAATGCAGGAAAAAGTTGGAGCAGCACCCAAAGCTCCTCCTGCACACGGAGCACTTATTCGGTTGCCCTTACTGCTCCCTCCCTTGCTGTTGATTCACTGTGAATGTCTGGGATATGCTCTTCCCACTCTTGAGACACTGTTTAGACTCTTCCCAGTGTGGATCCACTGGTGGGTGAGGTGAGTGGAGATTTTCTTAAAGCCCTTTCATCAGTCAGGGTAGCGGAAGAGCCTCTATTCTGTGTGAATCTGCTGATGCTTGAGGAGACGGTATCTGCTGTGAAATTTCTCCGCACACTCAGAACACTCATAGTGCTTCTCCCCAGTGTGGATCCTCTGGTGGGCAATCAGGTTGGATCTCTGGCTGAAGCTCTTCCCACATTCTGAGCACTTGTAGGGGCAATCTCCAGTGTGCATTGCCTGGTGCATGATCAGGTCAGAGCTGTCACGGAAGCCCTTCCCACATTCCCCACACACATAGGGTCGTATCCCCGTATGGATCATCTGGTGGCGGTTCAGGTGGGAGCTCTTTGTGAAGCCTTTCCCACATTCTCCACATTTATAGGGCCGTTCCCCGGTGTGAATTCTCTGGTGGCGGATCAAACTGGAGCTCAGCCTGAAGCTCTTCCCACATTCCCCACACTCGTAGGGCCGTTCCCCACTGTGGATCCTCTGGTGGACGATCAGGTGGGAGCTGACACTGAAGCTCTGTCCACATTCCCCACACTCGTAGGGCCGTTCCCCAGTGTGGACTCTCTGGTGGCACATCAGATCAGAGGTGTCCCTGAAGCTTTTCCCACATTCCCCACATGTGTAGGGCCGTTCCCCGGTGTGGATCTTCTGGTGGCGGTACAGGTGGGAGCTGATTCTAAAGCTCTTCCCACATTCCCCGCACTGGTGGATCTTCTTACCATCATGGGACTCCTTTTGGACCACCACCTCAGAGCCCGGGCCAGATCTCTGACTCTCTCCCTCCCATAGCGGGGGCATTTCCTCCTCAGAGAACACTGGGCTGGGTTTGCAGCCCCTGCTCCTGTGGGATCTCCGTGGCTTTTCCTCCCCATTGCATTCCTGCGCTCTCAAGACACTCAAAAAGGTCTCTGCCATGACGTTCTGCTGGGGGAATTTGTCCTCCCTAGTCACCATCCCCAACTCCTTGTCTGGGGGAGGAAGGACAAGGAGAGGATGGGATTTGCCTCCCTGCCAGAGGGAAGGAGATTCCCCCAGTGCCTCCCCAGCAGGAGAGCATCGGCAGCAGGGCTGTCCTGCAGCCGGGAGCTGGGAGATGGAGAAGGAGAGAAGGGTAAATTGGCACAGATTTCCTCCTCAACTCCGTGGGTGTCCTGGGGCAATTTCTGCTTCAACACAGCCTCCTCCTCTCTCCAGATAAGTCTTGGGAACGGGAAATCCTGCTTTGGAGGAAAAACAAGAATTGAGTGCATTGCCTTTGAGGGCCCCACTGGCCAAGTCCATCCCTACAAGTCAGCGAGTGTCTGGTAGCCAGAAAAACCTCCAAAAATCAAGGAGGAAACCAAAAACCCTCTCCCAGGAGTTCCCTGTTTCCAGTGTCCTTACATATGTCTTTTGAGGTCCCCCTTCCCACAGCTGCTGGGGGGTTCTGTGGGTCCGGGGCATCTCCC